GTAAAACACTGGAACAAGTTACCTGGAGAGGTTGTGGACTCCCTGTCTTTGGAAGTTTTAAAGACATGACTAGACAAAGCCTTGGCTGGGATGATCTAGTTGGGGAGGGTTCTGCTTTGAGCAGGGGGTTGGACTAGATGACCTTGTTATGAGGTGACAGGCTCAGGGGGTGGGGCGGTGGACTGAAAACCCCTACACCAGGGATGGAGGGCAGCAAAAGAGTGCCAGAGGCCCTAGCAAGCAGTCTGGAGAGAGCCAAAAATGGAAGCAGGTGCAGCAGCTGCAGCTGGAGGCATGGAGCGGCAGCTGATGCTGCCCCACCCGTTTTTGAGCACACTGTTGGTGCAGCTGAGGGGATGCCAGGGTGTGATGTCATCAGCCAGTGCAAAGGATTAGAGGGCCCCAGCAAACACAAAGAAATGCGTGAGTGGGAGGATGGGAGCAGCCTCTCAGTTTTGTGTTTTTCATCCTGTTTGGTTCCTCATTTTGGAGACACCAGCCTCGCATGCCTTGGGCTGCCAAGGCAAGGAGGCCGAGAATGCCCAGAGAGCCTGGAGGGGAGACTTTGACTCTTAGCAAGGCCAAATGCTGGTTCTGCCAGGCTGGGAGGTCCTGAGCAACGTACTATAATTTAAGGACTACCACAGTCCACGCGTAGGAACTGAGTTTATGTTTAATTTTGATTGTGGAGTTAGGGCCAAGGAGGTGCCAGCTCTGCCCCTCAAGAGCCCAGTAGTTGGATAGTTAGCCAACAGGCCCCATCCTGGGAAGGCGGTCTGCGTGACTGGGGTCACAGGGCAGACCTAGCTGGATACAAGCTCAGGCCAGTGGATGCAGTGCTATACATCTGAAGGTTGGTGTATGGAAGGGGTGTAGGGGAGGAGAAGCCCAAGAAGTATTCATATGGAGCATGCCCAAGGGAGTCAATGACATATGAAAAACCTCCCTGTTTCATAATAAGACCAAGGTGTGGAGGGCAAGCAACAGGAGGCTCCCTTAGGAGAAAGCATCCAATGGATGGTTGTGCCAAAAGCTGCAAGTGCCCAGGTTTGGGTCACAAAGCCCTGAGTTGCTTGGGAGCAACTGTTCGGGCTTGGGCACAGACCTTCTGAGGTCCCTTCCAACCCTAATTTTCTATGATTCTGTGTAGTGCATTGCCCACTTCGGCTGGTCTGGAATCCCCACTATACATCCCTGAGACTGAGTTACACATGGCACCTGTTCAGGCTGTTCTGGGATCCATGCTGCATGTGCCTGCCTGTGTGAAGCATATCCTGGACCCTAAGCTGGTCCAGAGCATGCTGTGCCCAGTGTGGATCTGCTCAGACCCAGAAGCAGCACTAGGGGGCTGACAGCAGGGGATGGCTGTATGTTTGACACCCCTGCTCTAGGTCTTGACAGTACTAATAGTATTGGCACTGCAGTGGACCTGACTCTGTGCTGGCTAGTAAGCGTGAACTCCAATCCCCCTGTAGTAGGGCAGCCAGGATCAGAAAACAGGCACATAGGGCTTGTCCACACATGCAAGCATGTGTGTTTGCAGCAACTAAAATAGAAGCAGTACAAATTTGAGCTGGGGCTTTTTGCCTCAGCGCATGTGCTCAGACATGTACTTTGTGGTGGAGCAAAGTGTGCCACTTGGGGCAAAATAACCGTGCCTGGCTCCTCCCAGATCTGTAGCCAGGGGGAGCTAGAGCCTGGGGCCACCACCTGTGCTGTCCCCAGCAGTATAAAAAGCTGCCCTGTCCTGGCCCCAACAGTACAAAAAGCTGCCCTGGCAAGCAGCTGAGAGCTACTCACTCTCAGGAGCTTCTGGGGCCCAGTCAGTTGGTACCTGGGGACACTACCCCTTGTGCCAGCTGGACTGCTGCAGCAGCATCCCAAATCCATTTTTTAAAAATACCCCAAAATCCATATTTTTCCATAATTAAAACAAAAGACCACTCTGTGTACACACACACACACACACACACACACACACACACACACATCCAGAGAGAGAGAGAGAGACAACGATCAGTTGGGCAATGCTTTATTGGTATATTTACAATGTTAAAGCAGTATGGAAGCCTACCAGTGTCTCTGTCATCATGATAAAATAAATTCTAAATACCTATATGGCACGTGGGGACCATGTGCTGGGCCCAGCCAGGTCTGCTGGCCCTAGGAACTGTCTGCCACCTGGCCAGGCCATGCCCTTGGTGGCAGGACCTGGCGCAGCACATGGGGACTGCGTGCTGGTCCCAGCTGGGTTCTGCCAGCCCTGGGGCCTCTCTGCTGCCCAGCCGGGCTGGGCTATGGTGGCAGAACCTGGCACAGCACGCAGGGACCGTGTGCCATGCCAAACTGGGTCCTTCCACCCTTGGGGCCCCTCTGCCTTGGGAGTGGCCCGGCCAGGCAGCAGAGGGGCCCCAAGGGCAGCAGGATCTGGTTGGGTGCGTTGCGCAGTCCCCACATGCTGCGTCAGGTTCTGCCACCATGGGCTGGCCCAGCTGGGTGGCAGAGGGGCCCCAGTGCCAGAAGGACCCAGCCGGGCTTGGCACGTGGTCCCCATGCGCCGCACCAGGTCCTACCTCTGCCTTGCTGTGCCTGTGCGGGGGGTGTCGTGCAGTGGGACCTGGGCCAGCCCCATGTGGCTCGCTAGTCCAGCTTTGCACCAGAGCGAGTCGCACAGCTCCGGGAGGCACGGGTCTTGTGCGTGCCTCCCAGAGCCCTGTGACCCACTCCAGTGCAAAGCTGGACTAGCAAGCCACACGGGGCTGGGCTGGGTCCTCACCTCCTGCAGCCCTGGGGACATCCCCCCACCACTCCCCAAACCCCCCCACATCCCTCTGCCACCCCTCACCCACCCACATCCATGAATGCCCCCCACCCCCATTTACCTTGGACAGCACCAGGGGCTGGAGGCAGCAGGAGAACCAAAGAGATGCTTTGGCCAACACTGGAGTGTCTCTTTTGGAGGACTGAATCTGTTGCACAGTCTGGGACTGTGCCTTGCTCTGCTTTTCTGCAGAGCAGTGTTTTTAGACCCCTGGACATTTTTTCATTCCCCGCACATGCCTCTTGCCCCGCCTCAAAGTGGTTTGAGATGGGGCAAGAGGCACATGCACACTCATCTGGATGCGCCCATAGATGGCTTGAAGAACTAATTCCTCAAAGAATGCCTTCTGGGACTTTTGAGTCCTCTTCTTAAAGGATCTGTAAACACTGTATTTTTCTTTGATATGTCCCTTATCAAGGCATCTTGAGCAGAGTATACAGTGATCATTAATGTATACCAGTACTTTAAAAGTAGGACAATATCTGAAACCCAGGGACTTCTGCATTATAAAGGCCTGAGCAGAACAGCCCTGAATAAATAGAAAGTAAATCCCTTCAGTGATAAGAAGAAAAACAGATATAACCAGTAATAACCATCTAATTAACTGTTATTACTGCGTATTAATCTATACTACAGAAGTTGTTGAGAATGTTAAAAAGAGCACACAGCGAATAGCAACTCAACTATAGACACTGAAAAAGAAAAAAAGAAATGTCAGAGCATCTCTTCCCTTTATAGCGTTAAGGGATGCACAAGGAGACATCAGGCATAGACACTGCCTGATGAATACTGCCACAGCAAGCTTTCTGATTTGTGCAAAAGCACACTACTAGAGTAGAACAGATGTGCAATCACTCAAAGAACAACTTGGCACCTGCTCAGTGTTCTTTCTATCCATCTAGCATGCTATCTACACTTGCCCTTAGTTGTGTACATGGAGCTGATGCCGGAGCTGTGGAGCTCGGCGCAGCTGTTTGCAGCCTGCCCACTGCTTGCTGCAGCTGCCCAGAGCCCAGGTTGGCTACAAACAGCTGCCCCAGGCTCTGGAGCCGAGTCACCAGCTCTGTGCTGGGAGCAGGGGAGAGACCGGGGCTGCGCTGCCTCAGGTCCCCCCCCACCGCCTGCTCCGATGTGTGGGTGCGTATGCCAGTACAGAACTGATGCCAGGGCTCCTGAGCTCAGCACAGCTGTTTGCAGCCTCCCAGCTGTAGCTGGCCCCAGCTCTGGGTAGCTGCTGCTGCCAGCCGGGAGCCTGGGTTTCTCCCAGCAGGCAGCTGGGATGCTGCAAACCCTGCTGGGAACAGCCTTGGCTCCAGCAGCTACCCAGAGCTGGGGTAGCTGCTGACAGCTACAGAGTCAGGGCTGGGGGTCGGGGGCTTTGGGTGGGGGCAAGGGGTACAAGCAGGGCATCCTGCCATGTGCCCTCTGCCCTCATTTTGTTTTTCTGGCATGCCAGCACTCCAGCACCTTCCAAGGTAGGCATTATGGTGTTTTTTGGTGCTCTGGCCAAAAAATGTTGCCTACCCCTGCACTGTAAGCTTACCACACAGTAAAGTTTCCCTGGTAAGGCATCTACATGTATGCCTGTTGGGAGCAGTGCAGAGCTACTTCAGCCCTGCTGTGCCCCTCTAGAGCAGCCAGGGGGAGCTTCAAGCTTCCTTGGATGCTAGCCCCAGCTCACAGGGGGTGCCCGAGTCAGGTCCTGGTCTCCAGGGGGTGGAGGAAACTGTCCTGCCTCCAGGGCAGCTGCCTCCCAGTCCCATGCCCTAATCTGGGGGAAATATCCCCTCCCTTAGCTGCTGCTTCCCAGCCCTATGCCCTAACCCAACAGCTGGGGAAGGGGACATTTTCCCAGCCCCATGCCCTGATCTGCTGATCAGGGCACAGGGCTGGAATGCAGCTGCCAAGGAGAAGGGACAGCTTCCCCACTTCCTGCTGTCTGGGCTGACCAGGAACAATTTGCTCCCAGTCAGCAGTCTACATGTGTGCTACTGTGCAGTAGTTACTGTGCAGGGAATCGACTACAGGTAGTAGGCAACTGTGCAGGAGACTAATTACTGTGCAGCACATGTAGATGGTGATGATTTACTGTGCAGTAGATTAGTCTTCTATACAATACAGCGTCTCGTGTAGACACACCCTTTTTGAAGCAAAGTGAATAAAATTTGTTTGCAGGTTCAACATTTTATTTATTAAATATGAATGTGGATTTGTAACATTAACCATATTATTCCAAGTCAAACATGCAATGAACAATATAAACTCTTCAAATCACTCACTTTGAAAACTAGAAAACTTTGGCTAGCCATGGAAATATGTGGAACTATGAAAATTGATTAAAATATTAGTTACAATTTTTAATTGCTACATCAGGTTTGATACTTATAAGTTTATCTGTTAAAACAGATGATAACTTCTGCCAACTCTACATTTTTACTGAATGAATTAACATTTATTAAGCACCAATTAAAAACTATACGAGTAAAATTCCTTCAAGGATATACAACCTAGTGCATTCTTAAATAATATAATTCTTCTTACATAACTTGTTAGGATAATTATGGAAATATAAAGTTTGCTGAATCTGGATTTATTAAGCTGTGACAGTTGATGTGAATTGATCTTCTTTTGAAGCTTTTCAAAAGTATACCACTTAGATGAAAGATGTATGATTTTTTTGAACAGCTAAGTTCTTTCAAGTTTTAACAGGACTCTAAATTACAGTCAATATTTTTGTACTATAATTGTGGTCACATTGTCAGAGCTGTATCTACTATTTGCTATAAAAATACAGTACATAGGCATTAGAATCACAGTTGTCAGAATACTTTAAAAGCTGTCTTGTCTACCAAGGTTCTGAAAAATATTTTTAAATGAGGGTCTCATCTGCTTAAAATATAATGAATTGTTTAAATCTCAGGTTCAGATAATCAGCTAGTGTAAATGGATTATACAGTGGAACACCTCCAGTTTACCCCAGCTGATGATCTGGTCTTGAGAGTTATTTGAAAAAAGCAACATGGTTGACTTATATTGGTGAAGAGGAGATACTACTCACTGGATGCTCCCGGGGAAAGATAGGGTTAAGAAATGAATGAGAGCATAATTTATGTCCCTCAAACTGGAAACATAACATATTAAACATGCTAGTTTTATTATGTGGAAAGCTACTTATGAAAACAACACTTAATCCAACCACACTTAAATTATTTTAAACATTACAGTGTTCTTATAATTTCTATACGTAGAATGTCACCTATACAGTAAATAAACAGGTTATTGGTCCTTCTTTAAGTCCTGTGATGACTCTTTTGTATGATCTTGCAGGCCAGGGGATGGCAGTGGATCAACATATCTGAGTGTCTGAAAAATCCTTGCATATTTGAAGTAGCTTAAGACAAGCATTCCCAAAAACAGGGACAGTACAAAGATTGAAAACATAATGGTCTTGGCAATGTCTGGACTGAAATATAAAAGAAACTAGATTAACAATAAATATAGGCAATTTGCAAATCCTCCCTTTATTTAGTAAAAAATCTCTCAGACATCATATTAACTGTATACTAATGTAATATAAAACCGAGTGTTTAAGTTTTTATTTTGTTCCTGCTGGTCCTGATGATTTAAAAATCAATAGCAAAATCCAAGTGATATTCTACAGAAGTCAGTGGCAGGCTCCTGTTGATTTTAGTGGGACCAAGATCTAACACTTTATTTTTTGATAGAAAGTGACAATAGTAGGTGCTCTTTAAACAGTTCATTCTGGTTTTACAAATTTTACTGGTTCCAACGATATACAAAAGTGTTAATGTAAAACCAGGAGTTACTGCTTACACTGGAATTAAATTTACTGTATTATATGATCAGGATCAAGTCTTGAATTTGGATATTAACTCAAAGCCCTTATTACCTACCATACTTACCCGAATCCAAGATGACTTTGAATTTAAGACAATCCTCACAATAATTAGATTCTATAATGGAAAATGTATACATTTATTATAATTTTCCATGTATAGAAACTAATTATTGGAGGGTCATCTTATATTTGTCTTCCCACTGCTGCAGTGGGGCAAGCAACAGTAGGGAGCAGGTAGGAAGGGTATCAAGTATCCTGATCCCTGCCCCTGGCTTACCCACACTTTTCCCTTGCTGCCGCCCCTCCCATTTGCCCGCCTGTGGTTCCTGCCCAGTCTGCCACTTGCCCCCCCATGCCAACACCCCCAATACTTGCCCCCACTTGTCCCACCTCTGCCTGCCCCATCTGCTCCTTCAACCATCTCCTCTTTGCTGCTACTTTTGCTCTTCCCCATGGCCTGGCACCCCTCCCCAGTTGCTGCTTAGCCTCTGGCCCCCACCCAGCAACGCAGCAGTGGTTGTAGTGGCAGCAGCTATAGCCCCAGCCCCAGTTTGGAGTTGGGGTCAGAGCTGGTTCCATTATTGTTGTGTGGCCATGCAGGGCCTGCAGCAACCATATGCCCTGGACCCCAGGCTGAAGTGGGGCCAGAGCTGGAGGGTAAGGAGCAGTGAAGGGAAGGTAGAGGGGCAGAGGCAGTAGGGCAGTTACTTTGGCTCTGATTCTGACCCCAAGCCTGGGTCAAAGCTGGAATCAGAGCTGCAGCAGCTGCCTGCCTCCCACTACTGTATTTACTCATCTTAGATTTGAGTAAATATGGTAGGTTGATAGAAGTTGGAAGTGTGGCCAAGTTAATTCACTGAATTTGGGTGCAAAACACAACAGAGGCCAAATTGCACTCTCATTTCCATCCATGCAAACTCTATGGATTTGTAGGGAGCCTCTGGCAAAATTATTTCTGCAACAGCATAGCTAATGAGAGTTGGTGGGTAGATGTGACAGGGCCTCTGCAAGGAAGGCCAACACTTGTGGATTTTGGAAGATCAGTAGATCAATTGGCACATGGTATGGAACTCTGAACTAGCTCTGGCAAGATGGCAGGCACTTCCCAGCCGCAAGTACTTCCAGCAAAATTACAAAAGCCTAAACAATTTTGTAAAAGTTTTCATGTCTTTCTATGGGATATATCTGCAAATAAATTGTGTTATCTTATGTTTTTGTAAAATACTATGATATAAATTGTATTGCTATATATATATAAATACATATAAACAACAAAATCATATTTAGTTATATGTACTAGCAATTACCTTTCTACTATGCCATATGTATGGACTGCAAAGAATGTTTTCAAGTCACAAAAACTGAAATTAAAAAAAATAAAAATAAGAAACCTTCTCATGTCCACATTGCTTCATGTACTTAATAACAACCTGTATTTAAAAGTTGATTATCACAATCAGATTATTACAAAAAAATTTGTATTTGTGTGCAACTGTCAAGCTGCAGTGTAATATCAGTATACTGGAGGTCACTTTTTTTTTTTGACAGTGCTGATTTTGGAGCATTTATACATGGATTCTGATATTCTTCCCATCTGGGAAAAAATACATTAGGTGAATTTCATCCCAATAATTGCACGAGGGCTGGCAAAGGACCAAAAAGGAGATGACTTCTCCCTCTACAGAGTCTGAAATACTGGTAGCTTCCAGAGCCCCTGGTACAGGTTAGAACAGCTTTGACAAATGTGTTTTGGTGTAATGAGAATAATCAGGGTACAGGTATGATAAACTAGGACACCAAGTTAGTAGTATACTACTAGCTGCACATCCTCCATGCACCAGATGTTGGCTGGACTGTAACAGTCAGCTGAAGACAAAGAGGTGTCAACACATGCTTTTAGGCAGCTGGTTGGTGGCAGTAGGAGCCTTATTCCACCTGGCAGAGCTGAAGTAATTGCCACCATAGTGGAGGGTTTTGTTTCCACAAAGGGACTTTGACTCTACACACTCAAAGTTTTGCTGGCACAATTTTCTAAAGGAAATTAGACCTAAATAAATTATGTTCTTGATGTAAAAGAAGGAATACAGTTTAATTTAGCCCCTCTCAGTGAAACTGAAGCTCAGATACACACACACACAAAGAACAAACCTATTGGGTAAGAATATACCATTTTTACAGACTCATTTTAGAAAAAGCCTGGTTTGACTTGCATCCCAGGTTTATGTCAATGTTACTGAGACTAAAAAGTGATCCTGAGGCTTCAGTTAAACTGCTGGGCTAAGGGGCTTTTACCTTCCATTTCATAGAGATAGAAAGATCTCGCCTTCCATTCTGTAAAGGTAGGAACAATGTAGGGTTAGGTATTTGGCCAAAAAGTACTCGATCAATTGACTGGTCAAATATTGTCAAATAATGGTCAAATATTTAAAGTATCAGTTTATTAGAAAAGTAAAGAGAGTTACTTTAACATTAAGTCTCATACCTATTGAACATTAGTTACAAAAGCATTCGTTAGCTGTTACTGTGAATGTAGCAGGGCACTAAGGTGCCTGCTACTTGGGAAGCCAGAGTAGTGGCTCAGGTGCTGGTTGCTAGGGGCAACTGGAGGGAGTTAAGGACACACACCTGTTTGGTCAGCTGAACAGAAGGGGCAGGGCCTGGCTCAGACACAAATTGCAGGCCAAAGCCAAGAGGGAAGGCAGCCTGTGGCTAAGGAGGAAGGAGCTCAGTTCTGAATGTGTGAAAGGGCTGGATGTGCAAGCAGCTACTGACATGGGTGAGAGATGGAACACCTGTGGTGTGGTTTGGAGGACGTTTTAACCATGAGGCATAGATTTGTGTTATAGCCAATTGGCTTGTGTTTTGGTTGTTGTTAGTCTGGAGGACAATGGCGGGGGGGGGACTATGAGGCTATAAGGGAATGGAGGAGGCCTCATAGGGGAACCATGATAGTGTGGGAGCCCCAGAGAGAGTGGGCACTGCTGAGAGGCCCTGAGAGAGGGGAAGCGACCGTGAAGCCCAAAAGGGTGCAGCAGAGGGAGTGTGCCTCCCAGACTGCCAGAAAGGATGGTGCAGGGAGGGCACTGACCCACAGCATCCGTAAGGTGCAGCAGAGGGGGAGGTGTCATCCCCAAGCACCAAGGCAAAGGTGCAGTATTGGGAGAAAGCTGACCCCAAGTACCCCAGAAGGCAGAACAAGGTCATGGAGAACCTGAGTGCCAGTGAGGCTTGGGGTGAGCAAGAAGCCCCAGAGAGAGAGAGGGGCAGTGACCGCTTGAGCACTGTGAGGTGCAGTGTGAGGCGGGACTCCAGAGAGCCCAAGCGAAACGAGACTGAAGAGACAGACTGTCAACAGGATGCGGAGCGGGGCTGTAGAGCGCCCAAGTACCAGGGAGACCGAGGCGGGTCCGGCCCATAGCAGGAAACCTGTAGCCAAGGGAACGAAGGGCAGCCTCCCTACAATAAATACATAACATCAAAGACATGGCAGGTGAGATTCCAAGGGTGCTTAAAGAATGCTTAGCATGGTACGGAGGGCACCCTAGGGGAGAGCACGGCGACCCTAGGGTCCCATCCTGCTACAGTGAACCAATGAAATACAACTTTGAAAAAAGCTGTAATGAATTATTATAACTACTGATGCTAGGCAAGTATAAAATGTGAACAATAATCAAGACTGAAGAGTTCATTTTCTCTTTGGCTTTTATTCTGGAAATCCAGGGTCACTCCAAATAGTTATAAAATAACAAAATTAAAAAAAAATAAATAAATAAAACACAGCTGGCAACTCTACAAGACACAAATCAACTGTTAAATCCTAAGTAGGCAAAAAGCCAACTCTTCAATCATTTTACTTTGTATTGTCTTCATTAGCTTCAACTGCATTGTCTACATCTTCATCATTATTGGCATATCTGTCTTCCTCTTAATCTGAATATTGAGTCCACTTTTTTCTTCTTTCATTTTCTTTTCTAATCTTAAACTGTGATACATGGTCACCACCTTTCCAGCAGCAGACATCTTTAGTCTTTCTGGTTTCTGAATAGTTGACTCCCCAAACTGGCCAGTTTTGTTCTGTACGTTCATTAGTGCATGGAAGTGTTAAATGCATTTCTGCCACTGTAGCCAAACTGCCAAGACGACATAACCCTTTCTACCATAATGAAGCAGTAAACTCTTTTCGTTCAACTACTGGGATTGCATTCCACATGGTTTTATAACTGACTGGGCTGATTTTTGCTTGATAGTTTGCTACCTCTGTCAGAATTGCTTGGGGGAGGGAGGAGCAAG